TTCTTAAACTTATTCAATATGTCAACCGGATCAGTCAGAGTATTGTTATTTTCATTCCTAATTCCAGACGTTACGGGCCCTAAACATTTTACGTGATCTGTTTATACCTTTGCACATGTCTCTTATGTTATTTTCGATTCTATTAGTTTCTATTTCAATAATTTTATTTTTAAGATACTCCCTTTTTTTATTTTTGAGCATTTTTTTCGTTTCATTCTTTGAGGTTCGAAAGTATTCCAGACTGTCTTCGCTAGGATTATTTAAAGCTTTTTATTTAGCGGCTTTTCTTTTTTCGCTCGGTTTGTTATTCTTATTTTCCTTTTTCCCTAGACACTAGTTACCGACCGCTTTAATATTATCCCAGATCTCACCCATAACTTGTCAATAGCCTCGTGATCCTCGTCAGAAAGCTCTAAAACTTCAAACCTATTCATAACATCTAGCTCGAATTGGGTTCTAATTGATGGATTTTTTAATTTTTCCAAATTAAAATTCTCAAAATAGAAACGGTTTTATTTCTCTTTTTTATATTAAGTTTTTGTCGCAATTTCGCGATTACTAATTCATGATCTGACCTGTTTCGCGATAAGTCCGTACATTAATTATACTGCTTTGCCAGCTATGTTGTAACAAGATATGTTCGATTTAATTTCGTGTTTGCGAATCCGGTGATGTCCAAGTTTAGGAAAAAAAAATAATACTTATAATATTTTCTTTTATTTATAGTTTTAAGACTGTGTTTCTGATATTCAATGCAGTGATCACAACTCATGTCGGTGAACCTTTTGTCTCAAAAGCTATCAACTGTCATATACAAATATGACTGAATAGTCAGAGAATAATAAAACATAAACAAATATTAAAAAATAATTGGCTTAGGCATTAAAAAACACCTGTAAAGTTAATTTTTTTAATTAAAAAATTTCAAGTTGGAAATCAAGCGTCGTTTGTAATTAAACGGCCAACAATAACGCAAAACGTGCTGAAATGAAACATCTAGAGAATATATTTCCCTTTCTAAAACACAGATTACTTTTTAAAATATTTGAAGCAGTTCCGTATAAAATGCACTTAAGCGGTAGAAAACGGTACTGGCGTGGGTGCCTACAGGTCTTAACCACACCATTCAGTGCTCATAAATGGCTTAGTTACAGTGCTATAATGACGTTTTTTGTACATTATATTTATTGTATTAACGAACAAATATTAATGTAATAATTTAATTGTCCGAAAAAGTTTTTAAAATTTATTATGTTCTTTTTTAAAATTTAACTTCCTTTATTGTATACGGAGGTCGTTTAAGAAGACCTCTATTGTAAAAATGATAAAATTATTATAATAAAACTTAATTAGAAAATAATTTGCTGAATATCTTGAATTTTCTTATGTAACGTTTGCAATTTAACACTTTGTTTTGTTTATTTACTGATTCTTAGAGCTATTTTAAATTGTATATACTTCCCAGGAAATGAGTCATATTAATACCTGTTTTATAAACTAAAATAATATATAGCTAATCTGAACTAAATGTAATTAATAGTGGATGGGTTGTTTAGTAAAACTCATTGTTCAGAAATAGCGGAAGAAATTGTTTGGAAGTTGGATCATATCATAAAAAAAAGGAAATTTTAATATTGAATGCATTATTATTTCTGAACAAAGAAAAATGGAAAGGTCGAAGTTATAAGTTCTTCTAAGTAAGCGGAACTTATTGTTTGGATTTGGTCGCAAAATGAGGGAAAACACGAAATTGAAACTTGGAACAAAAAATTGGAAAAAAATACATTAAGCTAACGAGAAAGGAAGTGCCAAAATCTCGAGAAAAAAAACAAGGATCAGTATCAATTATATGGCTGAACGAATATATACAGACAGATGAACAGAATATTTCAAGATGCTGCTAAAAGGGAGTCAAATGCTGGAGAAATTTGGATGCTATTAAGGGGCCGATGCAGGTTTTTTATGGTGAAGACCATTTTACCAGCAAGAAAAATTTGTTTGAAGCAATTATCAAGTTAAGTGGTCTGAACAAAGTAAACCAAACTGCTGGGTGTACATAGGCAACAAATGTATCAGAAAATGATATTAAAGGACTGTAGTTTTGTTTCCTTACAAGAAAGGAGATACTAGGAAATGTAATACCCATCGAGATTCATTCCTGTTTAGTGTACCAAAGAAACTATACTCAAGAATCGTAGAAGCTAAAATAAGAAATATTGTCGATTGCCAGAGCGATATGGATTGAGAAACTCAAGTTGCACATTGGAAGAGAAGTTGCAAATTGGAACTGTCTACACTTTAAGACAGAGAAGTCCATCAAGAAAGAAAAATAACTCTCCATCTGCTTAGTGCTTCACACTTTGGACTGTGCTACTATCTAATTGTCTTTCATAAAAGCTCGTTTTCCTTTCAGATTCACTGAATGGTGTGGTAAAGGCCTGTAGGCATCCATTTTGGGCCAATGCGTTCACTTTTTTTGTGTGTAAACATTGGCTTTTTGTAAATAAATAGTTACAAGGAACCCAACGATATGCAATTTATTGGAATGTGGGGGGTGAGGGGGGAGAGGGTGCACGGTAGGGGTGACTGGCCCACAGACTAAAACCATTGAGTGTGGAATAAACTAGAGTGGGCATGGCGGTCAGAGGGATGTGCCCAAGTCCACCAACCTCTGGGTACCTCTGATACTCTTGTTCAAGAAGTTTTATTCGCTTTTAACAGGAATTTAACATTTAAACCATCTGATTACTTCAATATTTATTTATTTGTGATCAAATATTGTTTCAACAGGCTTTAATTGCATATTGTAAAATGACTAAAAGCGTACCATTTGGTTTTACATTCGGAAATATACAGAATATTATCATCGGTAAGTTATTAGCAAAAAAAAAAATGTGTGAATTGTAAGGTTCTACATCGCAAGGTATGTGAAAATTAAATAAGAAATACCGCTCTAAGATCATTAATACATCTGTAATCGATAAGTATGTCGACTATTGTGAAGCTCCATATTATTTTATACTAATTGTATTATATCTTGCCCGTTTTAACGAAAATATATATTTTTTTTTTTTATTTTAATGAAGATGAGCCTGAGTTATATAAATAAACAACTATAAAACAATTGTTTTAGAGTTTAATTTTTGACTTCGTCGGATTATTTCAGGTTTGGTCATTGGCGGGGGCCTCCTTCCAATTAAAAAAGACAATTTTAATTCTTGAAATGGTTTTATATTATTTGGTCTCCATATTTATTCTAAACAAAGCTGTTGATTCTTTATGCAAAGAAATAAGTGATTATTTCATAATTTGAAACTCATATCCCTTAAATGGAAACACCGAAAAATGCCGCATGACCTGGAGAAACAGATCCTAATTAACTTCATAGTCTCGTTCTTACTAATTGTACTGTTTCATATCGCCGGTCGTAGTTTGATTCCACGTAAGGCAGTTGAAATGTGTCTTCAATTATAACATAATAGAGCCACAGGCGAATCCACGGGGTGAGAGGGGGGTTTCGGGCTGAAGCCTCCCCCCCAAATGGTAATGTATAACCATGTCTTATGAAAATATTATCTCTAAAAATATTATTATTGTTCGTGTAAATACATTTAACAGGACTTCAAGAATCACTTAAACACCATTTCATGCAGGTATTTAGTTTCTTTGTTCTTCTTCCTAAATCATAATCATTATGACATATATATATAATTCCTAAAATATATATATATATAGATATGTGTGTGTGTGTCGTAACGATTGAGATAAAATTGCGAGATTATTACGCCCGTTATATGAGTGTGTATATATATATATATATATATATATATAATATATATATATATATATATATATGTATATATATATTCGGGCTAAAACCTCTCCCCTTTCTAAAAAAAAAGGCCTTAAAGAGGTTTATCTATATTTTTTTCTCCTTCCTAAAGATATTTTCTGGATATGCCTCAGTCTTTACTTCGGTTAAATTTTTTCATCTAAGCTTTATTTATTATTTAAGCAAAAATGTTTTGTTTTTTTAAATAATTATTTGAGCTGTCTCTAGGATAAATTTAGAAGGCCTTTTCTAAATTGCAGAGACTGTTCCAAATAAATACAAAAAATCTCTAATTTTAGTGTCCATTAAAAATCAAGGTAGCCTTTTTAAGAAATCTTCAAATGTTATTCGAATAAAGTCAGTTTGAATTTATAAACAAAGTTATCAAAAGCATAATACATCAACAAATTACATTCGAATTTTTCAAATTGGAATATTTTTTTTTTTAAACCACATTTTTCATTTGGTTCAGAGGACAACTAACATTGGTTGAATACAATTTATTACAAAATTAGAATGAGAAAGCATGTAGAACATCAAAATCAACTAAATGTAATAAAAATCATTCCTGTGTAGTAAATATTTTACCTGAATTTTTCAGATAGGAAATTAGGACAATGAGATGCAACTTATCTTTGAGCAATTTTAATTTAATGTATAAATTCTGAAATTTTACACAAAAAACCTGATTTTTCGGTATTGAGCTTCTCTATATCTTTATATAATAAAAATAATAAGCTTTATTTGTACGTACAATGCAAAAAAAATGTATATATACGTAACATTCTTATATGTACAAAATCAACATTTTAGTTGGGGTTTTGAGTTCGATTTTCTTTTTTTTTCCTTGCTCTCTTGCAACCACACTAGGTAATGAACCTATCCCATCCGTTTCTACTCTCTCCCCTGCAATGCTATTCTCTTCCAGGCTGCTCTCCCGCAGGTCTTCTTCATCTCCTGTCCCAGTCTGTCCTCCAGGACGTCCTCTCTTCCTCACGTGATCTCTTGGATATCAATCCATGAACTGCCTGGCCCATGCTATTTCATTCCTCCTGATTACATGTCCGGTCCAGGTCCACTTCCTGATGTGTACTTTTATATATGGAAGGTCAGTCTTAGCTCTGTTCCATTTATTTGCTTTTCTATTCCTTCGTGTTATTCTGAGAAGTTATCGCTCCATTCCTCTGACTGTTATCCTCAATTTCTGACAAGTCTTCTTGTCTATTACCCATGTTTCAAAACCGTATGTCATGACAGGAACTACTGTTATCAGGAGTACATCCAAAGTTTTCTCTTGACCTCTGAATTCACCGAGAATCAATATATATCCTTAAATTTGAATAGTGAATTATTTCCTGATTATTTCTTCAGTTTTCCTTTAATTGAGATAAGGTGCTCAAGGTGTAGAAATGTTTCTACTTTCTCTATAAGGCGTTCGTCTATTTTTATATCTCCATCACCATTCACTGATATATAATTGCACTTTTTATAATTTATTTTAAGCCCTTTTTTTCTATAGCCATTATTAATAGTTTTCCCATCGTTAGGATTTCTTCTTTATTTTTACCTATTAGGACTTGATCATCCGCAAACTCTAAATGGTTCAGCCGCTCTCTAAAATATTTCATTCCTTTGTTCTGCCAATTCATCGTTTTCATCAAATCATTGATATAATGAAGAATTGATATAAATATTTTAGGAGAAAGAGTATCACCTTGTCTTACACCTTTACAAATTTTCATTTTTGCTGTTCTACTTTCTGATTGATAATCTGTATTGGATCTCGAATACATATCTTCCAGTATCTTGCATATACTTGAACTAATGTTCCTCTTTTTAAACATATTTATAAGGCAATCGGTTTTTAGAGAGCCAAAGGCTTTTTTATAATCCAGAAAAAGGAGGCCCACTGACAGATTATAGTCATTAGCTTGCTTAACTAACTCTTTAATCACAAATATGTGGTCTACAGTAGAGTAATTCCTCCTAAAGTCTGCTTAATGTTCTAGTTCTACATCCAATTTGTCTTCTATTCTTCTGAGTAGGATTTTAGAAAATATTTTATATAAAACCGAGAATAGACTTAATGGGCGATAATTATTTAGATCTCTCTTATCTCCTTTCTTTGGCAGAATTATGAGTTTTGCAGTTTCCCATTCTTCAGGAAAGCTTACCATTCTTAAGGCATGTATTATATAAGTGAGTGAGCGTCTGCGCTAGAATCATTCCCTCAGCTTTTATCTGTGCAATTGTCAGACCATTAACACCTAATTTTTCTTCTTTACAAATATCAATTACACTTAATACTGCTGCAATCATAATTTCTTCTTTTGGATCCCAGTTTTCTATGTTCCAATCCGCATTTTTATCTTTTATCATAATATAATTTTTCGTAATATTCTTTTATTCTATTAATTAGCTCCAAGTTATCATTTATTTTTTGCCCATTTACATGTAGAATAACAATCAGTTTTTTTTTAGTAATCCCTGCCTCTTTTAGTTTACCTCCTATCTTAGTAGCTTCCTCGACCTTTTCTCTCAACCAGTTCTCAATTTCCTTTCTGATTAATTTGTTAAGTTGTCTTGCATCTTGCTCCTTCTTTTTTGAATTTTGTCTTTTGTTTAGAAGATTTTTAATCCTTCTTAGGACCTTTCGACAGTTTCTGTATATCGTGAAATTCTCTTCCTTAATCTGTTCAAGTACCTTTTTTTAATGAGTTTGTTATTTCTGTAATTTGGGTTGAAGGTGTCATCTGTTGATCTAACTTTGGCAAAACTGATTTTAACTTATCTTCGAAATTCCATTTTTTTTTTTTTTTTTTTTTTTTTTTGTCCTGTGCTCCCCTTTCTCGCCTTTAAGGCTATACGGGGGTTTTCCCGGGCCAGGGAGTGTGGGCGGGGATTTAAAAACTCCGGGCACCGGGGACGCGAACTCGTGACTATTTTTTTATCAAAGTCTCATGTATCAGGTTGCCGGGAAACGGCGGTGCAGTGCACACGCGTTAGCCCATTCGGTCACCCCGCCCACTAACCCCATTTTTCTGTAATAAGTTTTCTGATTTAGTTTTACTGGACCTCCTATTTTTTTTTTTATGTTTTACAATGGTGAATTTTTCATTCAACATTGCACCAACTGGTCTTTGATCACTGCCAATGTCAGGGTGACTTAAAACTTCCACATTGATCACTAATTGCTTATTTTTAACAATTATGAAGTCTATTTCATGTTTTGTCTTTCTATCTGGACTCTGCCATGTCCATTTGTTATTATTTTTTTTTTTTTCTAAAATGCTATTCATGATGTGTAAAGACCGCTGGCTTCTACAAACTCAATTAGTCCTTTATTATTTTTTCCTTTATTATTCAGTTCACCTATTCTACATTTACCCATATAGTTTGAGTTACCTTCACTGCCTATTTTTGAATTAAAATCTTATCGATTAATCGATTAATATTAATTGATTATATCTGGCCTCATCAATTGCTATTTGTGTGTCCAAATAAAATTTTTCTTTCTCACTTTCTTCTGCATCTATAGTGGGACCATAAACTTGTATTATTTTAAGTGTCGTCTTCTTAATTTTATTTAGCTCTATTAACAGCCTAGAAATACGATGAGTGTAGGTTTTGAATGACCGTACCTCCATTTCATTATTTCTATTTATAAGGAAGCCAGTTCCACCTTGCCCTTTTACTGTACCATTATAATACAGTGTTGTACCATCTTGGTACTCCAAACTGCCTATCATATCTCCTCATTTCTGGCAGACCAATAAGAGACCAGTTCGTGACTTCTAATTCGTTTTTTAACTCGGTTAGTTGAGAATCTTCCGTTAATGTTCTGCAATTATAGGTGATTATATCCCATGTTTTCATCTGTGATAATTTTTAAGTTTCCTTTTTATTTATTATCCTGTCGAAATATCCATTGTCATAATCTGGTTTGGTAACCTGGTTGTCTCTAAACTGCTAAGAATTCGTTACAGAACCAGAGGTTCCTAATATTTTGTCATATTTTATAACTGTAGTCTCTTTTCCAAATTATACGTTACTTTTTCATAATCATTTGTAGCCTGAATCGTTTGAAATATATCTTCAGGCTGCTGCTTCTGAATTTCAAAGAACTATTTATTTTCTTACTTGCTTGTTTTTTATTATGCAAGTCTTCTATCTCACTTTTCCGAAGTGACTCGGCCTTATTTTTGAGAGTGGATTCCTCACTTCTCTGTCTTTTAGCTCCTCCATAGCCCTGTCTTTTGATGCAATTTCTGACTATATTACTGCTCGAATCTTCAGATTTTAACTCTTCTAATGTGTAAGTAACACTATCAATAAATGCTCTATTTCCTCTATATTTTACTATCGTTCCATTTTCGTGGCCTATTTTAATATATGGCCATACTTCTTTTCTGGCTACTGTCTAGAAGATCTATATACTTTTTTCTCATTGTTAAAAATTGTATCAACACCTGCCTATTCTGTTTTGATGGTGATCCCAATCTAGTGATCAAGTCTATCTCTGAAAGGCTGAGATTAATATTCAAATTCTTATTTACAGCATTTACTTCAGTCTCTTCCAGAGTGTCATGTGTTGCATTTGTGATGTTTTTAAAATTATATAGTATTAGGTTTTTTTCTCTATTAGTATATTTTTTTAATCTATATTTTGGTTCCTTTTTGAGATTTCGTTTTTGAATGCAGTTTTTAGTTGGTTTTGTGACCGTTCTAAATTTTCTACTTTTGATTTTAGTTAGTTCAACTCAATTTTAAAGCATTCCACCGATTCTTTCAAGGTTTTCATCTCCTCGTTTCCCTTTTTAACTTGATCGTTTGTGTCTCTCAGTAGGGTCATTACATCATTTAAAGTAGTTTATGCAGCCATTTTCCCGTAAAACAATTAAATTAAATTGAGAAAACCACAATATAACAAATTAATACGGCTAGTGCAACAAATGTATTAAGACTTTCAAAATTAATTTGAATTATTGATCAACGATGTTTATTACACAGCTGCAGACAGATAATAGATAAGTACTGAACTTGAACTTGGACTTAGCGATGTGGTAGGGAGCTGCGAGATCCAGCCGGCAGTATAGGGAAGCAATGCCCGTCCTGATATTTGTCAGATATCGCTACTGTAATTGTAAAACCAACTGCACCACTGTTGTCACCAAATTTTACTAACCACTTCACAAACACTTTATCTTCAACTCTGCAAAAAATCGTCGACGTAGGTGTAGAATTTCTAAACGTGAAACTAAGTAGCACAGAGACGATGTTACTAAGTCAATGGTCCAGACTGAACTATATAACTATATATCTTTATATAAGCTAGTATTTAAGTATTTGTGTATAAATAGTATGTATTGTATTAATATATATATATATATTTTTTTTTTTCGATAGATGCTTCTTCATCATTTAAACCTAAATAATTTCTGTCAACATAATCAGTACCATAATACTGTTTCTTTTCTGTACCCAAAACTTTTGAACATGTTAAACCATCATCTTTTGGCCCATCTTCTATACCTGAATACATATCATTGCCAACACCTTTTCCATATATTTCTGTATCTTTCTTTTCATGTTTTTTCACCACCATTCTCCTTTTTCACATCAGTCTGATTATTTAACTTGGTTGAATAGTTCCTAAAACCTGATAGATCATTTTTCACAAGAGGCTTCGACTATTTAGGACTTGAAAACAATCCCAACTTAGTATTCTTCAATGGATCGCTACATTTTCGTTTTTTAGGTCTTCTTTTTAAAGAGGTATACTTAGTATTATTTTCATTCTTATTATACAAGGAATTAAGAATGAATAGTCCGTTGGATAACCTAATAGTCATTTTCTTTTCTCAATTTAACATGAACGTGACTTTTTTGTGGTCGACAATAATTTCCATTCCATTATCCACTAACTGTTTTGTTTCTAACAGGTTTAGTTTAAGTTCTTTTACGAGCAATGCATTGTCTAAAACAACATGATTATTACTGGTGTCCAAGTGAGCGCTCCCTGAACCTACTATTCGCAGCGAATCTCCATTATCACCCTTTGTCATTTAAACATTCAGTAAAATTAGTTAACAAATGTTTATTCCCAACTGTGTGCATCGTAGCTCCTGCGTCTACTAAACTATCCACTGGTTGCCCACAACCTTATCAAACATTCCACAAGCTAACAGTGCTGAATCTGCTAAATTTTCTTTATTTTTATATTCATTTTTTCTGCACTGACAATATTTTGCTAAGTGACCAACCAGACCGCATTTAAAACTCATTTATTTTTCGTAAAATCCTACAATCCTTAAGGATATGTCCATTCTTTTTATATTTATTATAGGTGCATTCATCAGTCTGGTAGGTGCTTCAGGTAAACGCTTTTTCATTGCCTGAATCAATAATTAACATTTTTAAATTATTTTCTATCGCTTTCATACTTCTTATCTCAGTTTTGAATAATAATTTGGTTCGTAAAATCATTGAAGCCGTCATTGGTGCTACAATCTAAAGCGAATCACGTTTTTCGGCCGCCATGTCGAAAGGAAAGCCCCGATGATAACGAAACGTATACAAAAAACACTTCTAAATATTATTGCGACGTTGAGTCATAATTTCAAATCGGTGAAGAACTTTCAGAGATTAGCTGTTTTGAATAAACTACCATTTATATTTTTATTTACATACTATTTCATATTTTTATTTATTGATAACACCTAAATAAAGCTCGTCAATAGCTATTAAACAAAAAAAGAAAGAAGAAAATCGGTTGAATAACAGAGGAGAAAAAGGGGCTGAACCGTTTTGTGTTTGTCTATTTATATAACGATTATTATTTTATATTCTTTTTTTTTTTGTTTTTCTGGTTTCAAATTTATTACATTTCTTAGATTATCTGGATTGAAAACTAAGGCGATGGGGAGAGGATAGTGGGAGGTTCAACCTTATCCAATAAATCAAAAATCCAAACATATGTAAGGTTTGAGAACCGATTTCAAGCTTTAAAAAAATATTTTACTGATAAATATTAAATTGATGTTTTTGAATTCCATATACACTAGACAACTGTGCCAAAAGTGTTGGAAAATTTCAATTTTTTTAATCTTTGTTCAAATGGTCAAACATATAGCTTTTTGATGGATTAAATCATAAAAGGCTCCTATTTTTAACAAAATGAAAAACCCTTTTTTCTTTGGAATGGCATTAGGGAACATGGCAGGTTTATCAAAACCTAGTATAAGTTCTGAAGAAATTCAAACGAACTCATGAATTTCCACTCTAGTATGCCTAATAATGTCTGTAATAGATCTCTTGTTCATATAAAATATGATTAAAGTACTAAGTGGTTTGTCAAAAGTAAATAAATAACGTTAATTCAGGCTTAAAAGTCATTATATGAATTACATAGCTAACAATGTCTTTATGTTTTATAATATATATATATATATATATATATATATATATATATATATATATATTTTTTTTTTTTTTTTTTTCGGTTGTTGGTACAGACCATCAAGATCTTTGACTGCGAGATGTGGTCTCCTTAGACCTCATCCCAATTTCTGACTTAAGTACATCGGGGTAGAGTCACCAGTCCTACGCCCGATCGGTGTGAGTTGCCTCCGGTAGGCTGACGGTTCTCACATACCCGTGGGGGGAGGGGGCGGAGGTCTCGGACAGCGTGGCTTTCCCCAGTGGACGGTCACCCGAATCGGGCGCTCACCCATCCAAGTGGCAACCCCGCTCGGCGTTGCTTAACTTGTTTGCCTATCGCAAGCGCCTGAGCCCGCACGGCTGCCCCAGCCCCATATATAAAATATATATTTCTAAAAAAAACCTTTATTTACTAAAAAAAGCTGATATAAGCTAGCAACTTTTTCACAGAATTTATCGGTACAGAATTGAATGAAATCAGTTCCAGGTTCTCTTTTTTTACTTTAGGTACGCTAGTTATTTTTAAATAGAATTGGTAGCTGTTATAGACAACTATTAGTTATATTTCAATAAATATTACTGTAAACAGATTATATTGAGATTTGTAAAAAAACTTTAATCGTAAAAGAACAAAAGGCTTTTCCTTATTGATAATAGACAATTGTTAAACCATGTTTTGATGTACGATCCTACATCTTGTCGGCAATTTCGCTTATTGCATCTATATTTATGAGCACTTCTTTTCTTAAAATATACCTTCATGACGTGCCCTTTTCTACATTTTCAGTTCCTGTGATGTATCCCGTATTTTAAAAATTCCATAAATGCAGCTACCTCTGATTTTATCCAACGAATTAGCTTTATTATATTCATAGTAAAAGCAATTGCTCCAGTGATTCACAACAGACCAACACGAAAATAAATCTGTTCCTTTTTTTCTGAAGACGAGTGAAAATTTTCGTTTAAGGGCAACGGTATTTTTTAATTTTCACACTTTTATCAGACTACTGGAGCTTACAGCTACTCAAGAAACATGATGCATTTCGAACTAAGTTCGTTGCACGTAGGTAAAGTATCACTCTCCTAACCACCGCGCAGTGGGCTGATTCACGTAATCTAACGGGACAAAAATCGAAATATCGATAGTCAATATTTTTGAGGAAAATGTCATAAAACGTCTGTTTATACATCAGTGCTATTAGGAACAGGAGAATTAGTCGAAACAAAAACAATTAAGAGTAAAATTTATTATAAACATTGAAAGTAGAGAGCCAATTATCCAGTCGTAGGTAATAAAAGCTCAACTTCTTTTTGCATACATATTCTGCTTATTCTGTTACCTCATCTATTTTTTCTAACTATGGATAGTATTACTAAAGGCTATGTAATTTATAATATTAATATCAATGTAATGTTAGTTTAGCTTTTTTTCACTTTAAAAAAATATGTATTTTACTCTTATAAGTTAAAGTGAAAAATATTAAATATGCTATAACTTACGAGGAATCTCCCTGTACATCAATATTCAACTAATTACAGATTCAGCAAAGATTATACCTTAAATATTTAATACTTTGTGATCCTGATTTTCCGCCTTTGGAAATTATTAAATTTTAAATATTTCAATTCCTAAAATTGTGGTGATAAGAAGCACCATTTTTAAACATACAGTACTAATGTTAAAGGTTCTAAAATAATTTTACGTAAGTTTTTAATTTTCTTACATAACATGAAAATGCTTCAGAATATTTTAAGTAAGAAATTAATTCGAATTTATTTCTCAAAATTAGGTGCAGACCAGTTATAATTACGAAGCTGAATGGGCCAAATAAGAAAATTGGTTAGCAGGACACATATAGAGATTTAAATTGTTAATTTACATGTTTTTAAGTTTAAGTTTAAGTTGAACAAGCGTTGCGCAGATGGGAGCAAGCCATAATTTTTTTTGAATTCGTAACAGTCCAGATCTATTGGAACTGAATAAAAAATGGGCCCTGGAGAAAAAACGTATTTTCTTGTGGTCGAATAAAAGGTTGTTTGAAAGGATAAATATAGTTCATTATTTTTTAAATTAATTTTCTTCCGTCGTGTATTTCACCTGCGAGGCTCAGTTCGGATTCAGTAGGAAGAAATTGCTACAGGAGCACAAACATTCGCATCTCACGGCGGCCCAAGAATTACCCCACCTCACCCTACGATCCAAATTTTGCTCTTACATTCCATTATTTGTCCGCATAATTTCGCCATGCGCCAATGGCTGGGCCCAAGTTGATCCGCAGCCTGACATGATATGACAGTGACATGATATGACAAACCGTAAGATTAATAAAAATGATCATGATAATACTTTTTTTTAATACTACATTAGAAAGTTCATCTATGAGGATGAATTCTCCCTATATTTCTCTTTTCTATAAATAGCTGTTTTTTGAAACTTTTTTGGAATTTTGTGTCCACTATCCGTAGGGAGGAGCGCCCTATGGCAGAATTAGCTAGTGCTGGTCACAAGAATATTTGTTTGTTATATATTACATTAGAAAATTCGTCTATGAGGATGAATTTTCTCTATATTTCTCTTTTCATTGAACAGCTGTTTTTTTTTTAACTTTCTTTCCACCATTCAAGAGAGAGAGAGGGGGGCGCGCCCCCTGGTGGATCTGCCTGTACTGTTCACGATAATATATTTTTTTTATATCACATTTGAAATTGCTTTCACTACTACGAGCAACTAAACTTCTCCTTTACTAAGTACTTATACGACCGGTTTTGGTGAAGAATGAAGATGCCGGGTAGTACAAGAAAAGTGGGCAGACCGAAACTGAGATTGGAAAGAAGGCGTAAGTGTTGATGACAGAATCCTTGAAATCCGAAACAGGTGGACGGCTGCTCTGGGAACATGGCGGAAAAATCTTGAGGCAGCCAAGATCCAGTAATGGATTGTCGAGTTCGGGATGATGATGATGATCACATTAGAAAATTTGTCGTAGAGGATAATTTTTGCTGTATTTTTCTTTTCTTTAAATAGCTGTTTTTGAAACTTTTTTTAAAAACTATTCTTCCACCATCCAGAGAGGGGCGCGTCCCCTGACAGAAATCACTAGTGCTTGTCACGATAACTTTTTTTTATATTACATTAGAAAATTCGTCTATGAGAATGATTTTTTCCTTTATTTCTCTTTTCTCTAAATAGCTGCCTTTTGGAACTTTTTTCCAACCAGGCAAGAGAGGGGCGCGCCTCCCGGCAGAATCCGCTACTGCTGGTCATTCTAATAATTGTTTTTATATCACATTTAATAATTCGTCAAAGAGGATGAATTTTTCCTCTTTTCTTTAAACAGCTGTTTTTGGAACTTTTTTCGGAATTATTTTTCCAGCATCCAGCGCGCCCCCTGGCAGATTTCGCTAGTGCTAGTCACGATAATAATATGTTTTTATATTACATTAGGAAATTCGTCTATGAGAATAAATGTTCACTATATTTCTCTTTCCTGTTCATAGCTAATTTTTTGTGGAATTCTTTTTCCAACTTTCTGGAGAAGGCGTGCGCTACCCGGCTGGATCTGCTAGTGCCCCTGAGCTGAACTCGGAAAGATTTTTCTGAGTATGGTAGTCGTGAAGCGGCACGGTGTAAAGTAGATCCAGGAGCTATTTCTCAGTGAACTTTGCAATATATAAGAATAAAAACTCTAGAATTCCGTTCTATGCAACAGCTTCTAAATGTGCATAACCTGTGCACAGCTAATTTACAATCTGAAAACTAAAAATAATATTTAAGCGAAATTCATTTTGAATTAAATTACTTTATTGCTTGTTAATGATTTATACTTTATAAATTTTATACTTCTGTATATTTGAAATGGTGTGCTAAAAAACTTTTACTACAAAATTATGATATTTTATACCTTTTTATCAACATATGAAGAACTGAAGTCATCAGAAAAATGCAATAAGTGAAATTTTGATTAAATAATGTTTTATCATCTTTATAATAATCAGTTATTTCGTAAACATGTATTGATTTTTCACATCGATGCCTGTTAGAACTTTTGTCCCGCTATATCGGTGATACAGCCCTCTGTTCGCCGGACACATCATACATATCCTGCCCCGCCTATGTGACACTCAGGACCAGACATGTGAGAGACTGTGGGCTATGTTTTAACGGGAAATGAATTCTTAGCTCATAACTAAGAGGTTGAAAATGCATTATCCACTAATGTGTCTCCCCTCAAAAATTGAAAACCCTGTTATAAAGTAACCCCCTCAAAATTTGTATGGCGCAACTTGCGCTATGAAACTGCTTTCTGGGAAACTCTGGACAGAGGGATGCTAATTTGCGTTTTTAATATGTTGATAGTCATATTTTTTTTGCAGGAACTGAACTGTTGGAATCACAGTCTGAGTAACCTTCAAGCTCTAACTCTTTCTCCTGGTTTTGAGACATCAGAATCCAGGGTAATATATTACTTACTTTCCATCTTAAAATTTAAATCATTATTATTTATGGTGAATATTTAATAGTTGACCGTTGCATTATAAAGGAAGGAGATGGTCCGGGGTTGCGGTCATAAATAGGCTAAATAGTGGTAAAACTATTTTATTGAAAGCCGACGTTTCGACCCGACTTTGCAGATCTTCTTCAGGGCTAGAACGGACAAGATACCAAAAGATAGAGAATTGTGGCAATAATATTTAGACAAAATTTATAAACTATGTGAATAAGGTTATTAAAATTATCAACAGTAAGTACATTAAAATATGAACAGAGTAAGCTATAATATAACAAGATCCTAAACTGAAGTAAATATATGCTAACAATTGTTGTAGTGTAATATATAATAAATGCAAATGTGAATATACTTCTACAGATCTACAGAAGAGATTGAAAGAAAAGGAAAAAGGATATAATATGAAATAATAGACGTAAAGAAATGAGGAGAAAGAAAACCAAAAAATTAAATAAATGAGTAAATAAAATGGAAGAATAAAATTAGAGACTTACAGGTGTGTTCAGCTGGGAGTTTCACTTAGAACTGCAAAACCAAGGGTAAGGACAGGTATAGGGGAAGCTGACTTGTTTGGGTAATGGGGAAAAACCTCAATTCTCTATTTTTTTGTATCTTGTCCGTTCTAGCCCTGAAGAAGACCTTCAAAGTCGGTTCGAAACGTCGGGATTCAATAAGATAGTTTTACCACTATTTAGCCTATTTATGACCGCCACCCCGAACCATCTCCTTCCATTATTATTTATTAACTGGTTAACTTCACAAATGCTGCAAGCAGTGTCAGCCTGAGGGTGGAACAACCGGGGCGATTGCCCGAATGTCTAAGGCCGGCATTGTTGCAAGCAACAATTTATAAATTTTGAAAACTGATGAAAAATATCAAATCCGATGTACACACTAATGTTTTAACATCAAATACATACTGAAATAAACATATATACAAAAAACTAAAGAGGATTAAGAATTCAGAATTGACATACAAGATGCGTTCATATCTTGAATATTTATTTTACTTTACACTATCAAATTGGCCTTCTCATTTGTGAAGTTAACCACCATTATATGTTTACCAGCATTCCATCGTAACTTATATAGTTCTAAACTGTTTAGTGATGAGCATGTCTTCTAGTTATAGAAGTAGTTGGTTTAAACATAAAGTAGTGTATCATATAACTTTAGATATTAGATAAGATAACCTGATTCAGTAACCAGTAATTAAGAGATTTTGTAAAATTTATTTACTTATTTTTTGCTCTTGCTTGCGTTTTACCGTGGTTTTTGAATGCGTGTTATTAGTACCGAACAACTCTGACGTAACTGTAGATTGTTGTGTAGGCTTTGTTCCAGATTCTAGTATAATATAAAATATTGCCCAGGCATACTTTTCTGTCTTCATTGAAGTAATTTATAAAATATAAGGCACTGCAATTTCCGGTTTAATATGTAATGTTCTCATAATAGAATATGCTATCATTATTCCATCGATTTACTGATAAATTTTCTTATTACCAGTTCCAGTAACCAACAGCTTGTTGGTATGGATATAGTTTTCATTCATATAACTGGGAGACACGAATAGATAAAGGCCATGCAATCAATTTACTCAGTAATGAAATGGATCCTATCTTTAAAAAAATATCAAATAAAAACTTTGTGCCATTTTCTGAAAATGTAGATTTAAAATATAACGCTTTCATTTTCACATATGATATCTTCATTAAGTGTAGAGTTTAAGGTTGCTTATGATTTAATTAATTAAGAAAAGCTGGATTTGCATACCCTGTGGTGTCTGCAAACAAGGAAACCTTTTAAAAGGTAGGGAAATTAATTTTTCTGGACAAAATCAGAGAATAGTTTGGGTTCATCAAAGCCAAGAAATTTTCCGAAAATATATTGCCAACAAAAGAAACACCTGTACCACTATAACCCAAGAAGGGTTTTGGACTCAGTACTAAGGTTAGGAAGTAGTGTTTCAAGGCCGACGGCTATGCAGGGAGATGATTAATAATTTAATTAAGTGTACCTACTTTTTAGAGGCTGGGTGTGCCCCAGAAGGGTCTTTTGACCCCAGGGTCGATCCACGGCTGACGAAATATTACATAACATTAGCCGGGCATATAGTTTAGCAGCCCAGTGCCTAACTTTCTGACTTACTCTCTTCCATGTATTGCTTGTAACAAAATGAATGAAAAATATTAGAATTTAAAATGGTTGGTACCCAAAGAATTTTTTACTTCCTCAAAATCTTAAGTTGGAAAGCCTTGAATTCATGTGAACGGTTACAAAAAGCTTTCTCTCATAATAGTCCAGTTATCAATGAATAGCCCAAAACGGAGTGTAGAGTGCGTGAGCAGGGACCTAAGTGATTCCTTCATAAACTTGTTCAGGGTGCTTAGGGTATCAACATAAAAGTCTTGGTGGTGAACCGGTGAGGGAAAGGTCACCATTTTTGGATTTTCGCTTATATCTAAAAAACGGTGCATCGCAGAAGAAATTTTTCGTATAATGAAATAAAGTTTATCAAATTGTATAAAAATTTTATTCTGTAGGTATTATCCGAATTCTAAACTCTTTTCTAGCTACAAGCTCGGAAAAGTTGATATTTTCGAAAAAATCATTTTGTCTCGCATTTTTTAACAAACATTCCTTCATATCGTCTTACCCATTGATCTGAAAAACAAAATCATTTAAAAGAAATTTTAGAGACTCAAATGTCAGACAACAGCCACACCGCAAAAGCTTGTAAGAACAAAACCTAAAAAATTTCAGAAGACGAAAAAAACTGCACAATTTTTGTTCTATGAGCATTATATTTTCGGTTAAATTTTTTTTGCAGGCATAAGACAAAAATCTAATGCTTTATGTAACTATTTTGATCGTATTTCTGCCAAATAATCTTTTAGAGCCGTTATTTCTGACTTACAGCTTTTTAGTTACTTTCAGAAACAGGTACCGTAAGATAATCTCACAGGGTTATGATGGTATTGAGGTTCGACGGTGAGAATTTGGGGCAGGTAGAAAGTTTTAAATACTTGGGTACTAAGCTCAACACAAATGGATATATTGACGAGGAGGTAAGGCTGAGAATGAGGGCTGCAATGAGGAAGGAAGGATGTTCTGCTCAGTTAAAAGAGGCTTCCTCAATCGAGGCTTTCTCTACAAATCAATATTCCTTCCAATACTGACGTATTCTTCTTAGTCCTGGACACTCACTTCAAAGCACAGGAGCCAGCTTCAGGTTCTTAAGATGTGATACCTGCGAAAGGTGGAGGAAAAGACTAGGCGGAACCAGGATTCGCAATGCAACCATCCATGGATTCGGTCGAAACCATTATAGAGGAATATAAGCTAAGATGGTTTGGGCACCTTCTCCGTATGGGTAAGAGCAGAGTCGGAAATAAGACTTTTGAGACTCGCGTGCAGTGGAGAAGACCGAGAAGAAGACTCCAAATCTCCTGGAAAGAAGGCGTATGAGATGCGTTCCAGAATGAGGTTTAGAATGGAACAGGAGACGAGAGCTGGTACGGGAAAGGTCCACCTGGTCCAAGCTCTACAAAGCAGCCTCACACTGCATAAGCGGTAAAGAGGATTAGATTATGATGGTGTTGATTCTAGCTTTTTAGTTACTTTGGAAAAAAGGTACCGTAAGATGTGGTAACTTTGGACATTCGCTAAAATTTATTTTGTGATGATTCCGTGGTGGATACACTGTGTTGCTTCAGTCTGCAAAAACGTTATTTATGTAGGCATGTATTGCGCTACTACCTTGCGATAGTTTGAGAACCCTAGTTCACAACACTTGTTGTGCAGTTAGGTTTCATTTATTTCCATTGCTTTTTTCAAAATTCTTGTCTTCATGAAACGTTCGCTTGTGTCTCAAGAGTAGTGTGCCGGAAGGTAATAACGCTGGCTGATCCAACACAATGTACCCAACACTGAATCACCACGTACTAAATTTTACCCGCTGTGCCGTAGGTACCCACCCAGTCCCAAAATTACTCCATCTTAGGTATTAGTTTGGTAAAAGCAATCAAATTTACTGTAGCAACACCCATAACTTCGTTAATAATGATCAAAGCATGACAGGAACAAAGTCAGTTTCCAAAATCTAGAGAAACGATACTTTAAATGAAAATTTGTAAAAGATTTGCCTGTAAAGCGAGTATTTGATCACACGGGTTTTTAACTTTTTAACTCCCACTGAACGAAGTTCGTGCGCTCCATTTTGTAGTATTCTACAGAAAAACATGTTACTTCAAAAATCTAATATTGTATTTGATATAGTCAATAAATAATATTTATATAAATGGATTATAAAAGTCTCATGATAATTTATTATATTTTGTTACATTAAGTATATACAATTATTAATTAAGTATATACAGACACCCCTATCGTGCACTCCCTCCACATCTCTATAAATTTTATATCGTTGTGTTCCTTAAAACTATTATTTAAAAAAAAAAAAAAAGAACGAAAAGAAACCAATGTTCTCACAAAAAAAAGTGAACGCACTGTTCCAAAATGGCGTCCAATATGGCCGATTGACGATTTTGGCTTTAGTTATTTTTTCGGTCACTGAGATTTAGCATTTGTTTTAATTTCTTCATAATTGACATTTTGTTAAAGGTACATAGTCAGAGAATTATAAAACATGAAAAAATGATTGGTTTTGGCAATAAAAACACTGGTAAAGTCAATTCGTTCAAACTAATGTTGAAAATCAAGCTTCGTTTGTAAATAAACGGCCAAAATAACGAAAAATGCCTTGAAGTGAAGTATATGGACAATACATTCCTTTTTCCGATTCACTGATTCAATTGGAAGAAAGTTAGATATTGCTTCAAAAGTTATTAATATAATGAAATTCCTTTCATTACATTCGCTCATGGATATGCAGACCCAGATATAATTTTTACGTCCACATATATTCAAACAACGGCTTGCTTGATTACTCAAACGTAAGAGAAAGTTGGGAATTAGTGAAAAAATGATGTCATATCAGTTTTATCGAAATTCATCTTTACAACCGCGCAAACATTTTCCTTGATAGGCTTTCGTTTTAAAAACGGCTTGTTCGATTTGTGGTTTTGAAAATTTTGCCCCCTCTCGGAATTGAAACTTTCGATTTTTTTTCCTGGGATGGCACTGCCCCAAATTTTTTTTTTTTTTTTTTTTGTGAAATTTCCGATTTTTTTTTCAGTCGTTTTAATCTGTAAGTCATTTTAAGGTAGGGTGGTTATATATTTATGCTTTCTCACCAAGCATACTGAAGGTCTTTGAGATAGTGTTCTGTGATCCTTATGTTTCTTTTTTAATCTGTTGCTGTCCAGATTGTTATACTGTTATAGTTTTTGAGGTGAACTTACACTTCCAGCCATTGACATTATCATTAAATCGTGTAAAATTCAAATGAAGCTTTGTAGAAATAAACTTTTAAATTGATTACTATTGAGAATCTGATACCCAATAACTAAAGGTTTCACTGATTTTTTTTTTTTTATTTTCAACATACTTAACAATACATTATTACATTATGATCAAGTTCTGGCAAAAGACATATTTTTTAGGTTGGTACTTGTGGAAATTGGTTATTTACTTAAAAATTGCTTAATAAGTTGTTTTAAAAAATTGGAATTTAAATTTATTACCACATTAATATTTTACATTTCTTTATATTATGAATCTTGATAATAATAAATTATTAATATTTATACGAGTAATTTGCCTGTAGGGTGGAAGGAGTCCTATGATTTCACCTAGAGGCTCACCCCTCACTGGAAGAAGATTCCATCATACAGCTCCTCCAGTTCCTCCTAGAAAATCATCTCCTACCCTAACAGTACCAAAGGAAGATGCACCACCTCCCCCCGATACTTCAGAAGGTATGGCACAGTTTTAAAAGTATGCTGTTCTGTAAGAAATAGGAAAGATTAAAATTCAAGATTGTGTGAACATTATCTTCCTCCAGTTTGATATTATAATCACTTTGATTTAATTTAAAGTTAATTTAGATCTCATTTTACTTTTTATTTCTCTTAGTACTAAACCTTTATTTATAATTTTCTATTGTTCTAAGTAAAAAACATATGTACTCTATTTCCCTTTTATCCTCAATATTTATACTATACATATATTATAAAAATATCTATATGGACCGTGAAAAATGCATAATAGAAAATCTATATGGATTTACCGAATAGGAACAATCTTAAGGGGTTCTATTTAACGCTTTAGCAGATTTAACGCTGACTGAACAAGTTTCTATGAACATGGGTCAAAAAATAAAGTCTTGACCAGTTTTTAGGCCAAAACATTGAAAAATATATTTTCGACACTTTTTGACAGTTTATGAAGAAATGATTATTGTATCAAACACAGATTGAAAACAATGTCTTTAATAATAAGGTTTGGTATTACTAACCGATGATTATTAAAATCAAATGGTGTTGCTTTTATTATTGCTTAGGTTAAAACTTATCTGTAAAACACTTATAGACAGGCATAGTTGCAAAATTATGATATTGAGAGTACAGAGAATATCACCCCTTTTGTCAAAATTATTTACATATTATTCAATGTATTTTTTTAACAGATTTATTTTTAATTCTGTATTAATAATTTATAGAGAATAGATATAATTTGCTGGATGGACAAATGACCTGTGAAGGAAGAGTACTTTCATGTCCTTCCCTTGCAACTACTTCTGGGCTTCCTCTTCCATCTAAATCTCAAACAATACCTCAGTTGTGTGATACGGAACCTTATCATACACTTGTTCACTATGCAGAGCTTGCCAATATTTCAGAAGAACCAAGTTATGAAAATACCATTATTTTACCTGGTAATTATTTACCTATTCTTATCCTATTTGGGAGCAGAAGTAAATTTTGTTCATGAAAATATAATTTATATTCCTCTAGGTAATATAACAATGGTAAAACCTGTATACTGTGCAACACCTCAGGAGCTGCCTATAGTTTCTGCAATATCACATATTGTGAAATCTCCCTTACCTGAATCAGTGACAAGGTTTGTATACCATCAAATCTATTTATGCATGTTTGTTATGTTTATATTATGATGTTCCCAAAAAATAGAAGAGAAAGATGTGGGAAAAACAACATTTATACTGTATTTATTCTATCACTGTTTACTTTTTTAGGTTTTAATATTTCGTTAATTGTAATAAAAATATAATTTCTAGTGGAAGACTTAATATAGAACAAAATACAAGATGTACACCATCTAGAGGATCTTCTGTTGAATCAACTGGTTCTACTGCCAGTTCTGCATCTAGAGAAACACATGAAGCACAAGGCACATCTTCACCCTATGAAAATTTAAATATGGATCATATTGCTAAATTAACATCAGAGGGTAAGCCTTCGAGAATTATATAAACTTGAATATGATTATGATTTCTTAATAATTCCCCTCCACCCTTTGTATTAGGTTATGCACACGATGCTGTAATTAGAGCTTTAGGAATAACACGTAATGACGTTGCGATGGCTTGGGATATTCTTCATGAATTTGGAACAAAGCAATCTACATGAACAGCATATGGCAGTATGTAAAAAAAAAATGTACATAAATCAGCGAGCCATTATTTTTGTTGTACTGAGCTTCCCAGCATTTACATTATTTTAGTTGTACAATTATCATTCCAAGAAAGTTAATCTCACAAACTATTTCAAACTTTAAATAAAACAAACTCTAATGTAAATAAAACTGCTTGGAATTTTTTAAAATTCAATTTATGTAGTCAAGAAGTATCTATAAAACAAGCACAAACTAAAATAGGACAAAAGTAGTTTTACATTTATTAAATTTAAATAGGCTTTACCAAAACAAAAAGGATTTTGGATAGTTGTAGCTAAAAGATTCATATGATAATGAATACTTTCTAAATACTAAGCTCTTGAAAAGGTTTTCACAATACATATCTTATTCCATTTAACATTTTGAAATATGAGAATAACGTAGGTGTATATAGCTGTTTTTAATGGAGGTTAAATATTTTACACAAAAGAGGCCTTTAATGTACAATCGGGATGGCTTGTTGGTTCGGTCAGTTTAGTCATTTCTTTTATATAAGTATTTGTTTCCTAAGGCTGTTTTGCACTAATGAATGATATCGTTTGAATCACAGTATGAAAGTAAAAATTACATTTAGTATTATTTTATTTATATAATCTTATATTCAGAGTTTTTAACTATTAAAATTTGTCAATTAGAAGTTATAGTATTGTTATTAAAGTTTATAATAATGACTGAAAATAGGTTTTTAAAATTAAAAAAAAAATCTTATTTCCTCATAATTATATCTAAAAAGACGTTTTATCAATTTTGCATTTTTTTTTTTTTAAATTAATGCAGCCATTATTATTCCAAGTATAACGTGTATTAAATTCTCATTATCTCTAGTTTCATTTGGAGGATTGAAAAATTGTCAGTAAAAAATATTAGTGTAAAACAGCCTTTTGATATGACTTAGGTATATACTCTTATGTTCTATTAAGTTATAGAATCTGGTACAAATCTTGTCTTAATTACTCCTTTTTATACTCACTTTTACTTTGCATTATAATGATTCTTATAATTTTTCATGACTTTAAGTATACTTTATTAATTTTACTCTATTAAATGTTTGCTTTAGCAGAATTTATTCAGAGTCAAATAATAATAGAAAGAGATTTTTTTATTTTATTTTTTGTAAAAAAAAATGTTTAGATGAGGATTAAAAATAGTCAGGAAATGCATCCTTTATATGATTTATTAGACTTCCTGACGTTTCTACACAGACATGTGGGTCATCATCAGGGCTGAAAATTGAAAAAATACATCAGAAAACTGAAATATAGATGGAAATATGCAAATAAGAGAAGAAAAAAAGATGGAAGGAGCACACAAGATAACAGTAATATAAATATAACATCACCAAAAGAAAAACTAAATAAATGAATATATATAATAGTTTATAAATTTTTTTTTTAATATTTTCTATTAAATAGCTGTTAAATGACCATCACCACATCCCCATCCCTTCCTACCCTCCCACCCAAATCCATACCGCACCACTTGCTCAGTTATTGTCTTGTATTACCATTGATAATTGTTAAGCTACTGTTTATATTTATTATTTTTTATTTCGTAACTTTTGATTCCATCTGTTTATCCACATACCTATTTGTATTCTTTTTTTGTAATTAAATTGTACCGTATAATGTATTGTATTCCTATTATATTTATAATTCCAAAAATTTACCTCTGCTATTCTTAGTGCTGTTATTTTTTACATACTTTTCTTTTATTTATTTGTAATAATCATTTAATTAATTTATTTTTTATTTTTATATACTTATTTTTTTTATTTATTATTTAATTTTATCTTTGTGTACTATTATATTCATGTTTATATTACCATTATCTTGTGTGTTATTTCCATATTTTTATCTTGCCTTATTCACATACTTCTATCTATATTTCATTTTTATGATGTCATTTTTTTTAATTTTTAGCCCTGATGATCCACACGCTTGTATTGATACATCTAATAGTAAGTCTAATAAATCATATAAAGACTGAATTTCTTAATTATTTGTCATTTTCATAATTATAACATTCAACTATGTATCCATCACTTAAATGTTTAGATGTTCTCAAGTCATAAAATGAGTTTTGATTGACAATTAATAAGTTAAAATATGAATTTTCACTAACATCTTAAAAAATGTTTGTTATTTTCTTACACATATTTTAAGTAACTTAAACATTGTTTGGAACCTAACAAGCCTTTCCTTAGTTAACTATTATATGTGATCTTGTATGTTTAGGATATATGATATATGTATGAAATATATATTTATTTATGACATTATATAAAATATATTTTTAATTTATAAAAATATACTGCTTTTATTTTCTAGTTTGTGTCTGGTTACATAATGTAAAGTAATAAATAAATTTTATTTTGTCTATTTTAATTATCACTGCTGTACATAAATGAAGAAATAACCAATTATTATATAAGTTAAAATCATGTAATCACCATTTCTAATATGAATTTTTTTTCTCGTTATTAATTGAGACTAATGATAATTAATCATGCATAAGGTTTTCTTGGGGACATAAATAGGAGGGTAAGTTTTTTTTGTTTTGTTTTTGTACAATTTATACATTTTGTTCTAAATATTTGTCACTTAAAGGAGAACAAAATTTCCTCTGAAAGGTAATTTGTTTCTTTCTTTAAGTTATTATAATTCATTTTAGGTTTTGGTATAAGAAACAGTATTTACTATGAATAAAACAGATCACTAAAACATTTTTAATCAATAATCAAATAGATATTATAGTAACCAGTTGAAATAGTTTTCTATTTTACCAAATTTTTTAAAATAGAATTTAATATTTTTCTCAAAAGATGTATGTTAATAAATACTTTATAAATTATAACTTTTAAAAATGTTAAATTCTATTTTCTTTTCTTTTTTTTAAAGAAATTTAGGTTCTGAGTTTATTTTCACTATTTTAACGTTTCCCTTTAATGATTATTCTTTTTAAAATTTATTTTCTCATTATTCAGTATGTCAAAAAATATCTTGCATCCAATGAAGTATTTTTAAAACTGAGAAGAGAATAATTTTTCTGACTTTATCAAACATTGTTGTGGCTTTGACATTACATAGAATTTCAAGAAAACATCTCAAGTAGTAGTCCATTAATCAATCAAAACAAAACATTGAAGTGATGGATCGTTGGAGTGATCAATCAAATTGGAATGGTAAAAAATAAATAATAATTTTATTTATTTTTACCATTTCAATTTGACTGATCACTCCAACCATCCTTCTCTTCAATTATTCACTACAGTCAACCATAAATCCACAATTACAAAACAAAACATATTCTGTTCCCAATAGAATTTATTTATTTGTGTTAGTAATTTGATTTTTTCTTGGAGGTAATTATTTTTCATACTTTTAACGGTTAATTTGAAAAATTAAGAAATGGATATTTTAAAAAATAATCTTACAATTAAAATAATTTTACTGACTTTTTTTTTTTTATAGCATTAACATGGTCTTTAGATAGAAGAATTTTATATTAAGAGAAATAAATAACTATACTTCAAAAGCTTCAAAAATTAAAGTTGGATTAATTAAAATATTGAAATATAGCCGATTATTAAAAAAAATCTTTGATTCTAATTTAGGTGTTTTGAATAGAACTTTATACCTTTCAATAAGTGTTCATAGATAAAACTTCTGCTACCTCTAAATAATGCTTTCATTGTGAAATAGTCTGCTCTTAATTAATTCTATTATACTTAGATCTGGTGCTATCTATATATCAAGATGAAGACTTTATTTGTTTTGCTGCACTAATTTCAGAACCCACCTGTCCGATTTTCATAAATTCTGTTTGAATTAGATAGATTATTTGTTCAGGAAGGCTTAAGGCATTTAAATATCAAAATATGACTCATATTAGTTTGGTATAGTTGCAGCAACCATAAACAAATAATGTGAAAATAACTTTTGACAGTTATGCTGTCTCAACTTTTCATTAAGTTGTCATTTACAGTACCTATCAGTAAAACACAGCAATGAAAATTTAAGCAAAATATGTATTTATAATTTTAAGCATATTTGAAGCTACTCAAGAAAATATTATTTTATCCCATGGGCAACTATTTGTTGCCTTGTATATACCAGATTGTAGAGGTAAACATTAGGTACTCAAACCATGGGGTGAAAGAACTAACAATGTTGTTTACACTACTGTATTCGAAGTTTTCCTTATATAGTTTAAAACATTATATTTTTCTACAAAACTTTGTTGGTATAAAGCAATCAAACTGAAGAAGCTTTCTGTCAAGTTAATTTATATTAATAGGCTCTTTTATTTTTTTCCATTATTTTGGGATGTTAATCAATTAATCTGATTCATTTATGTGCCCATAATGTGTATGATGTAGGCATGTGTTATCTCAATTTAACATATGCGAAACCACAGGGCACAGCTAGTATTAAAATACTGAGGATCTAAAAGATATCAGGTTTCATTTTTTTTTTTTCTTTCTTTTCTTTCTCAAAATGGAAACTTGAAAAGGCTCATTATTTTTTTAGAGTTTAAAGTGTACATTTCTTGTGATCATATTTATATAATTTATTTTGGAATGACCTTGAATTTTAATCAAAATAATATTTTATTTTGTTTTATATTTCAAAGACTGAAATTCTATCTTATTTCCACAAATTAAGAAGTAAATAAAAATATCACCTAATTATTGGGACTAAGCTTTGTTTTAATTTTCATATTTTTAGATAAATATAAGTAGATCTGAAAAGACACTAAAGCAGTAATTAATATGGAATTCGCTGATTTTTTTAGAACTTAAAAACAAACTTTTAATATTCCATAAATATTGTATTAGTACTTTTCTTAAATAGCATTATTGATAAAAATATTTCATATTATATGATAGACTGAGAACTAATTAATAAAGATAGAATTTTTTACTAATGAAATTCATAAAAAAATATATTACTCATATATTTTGTGTTTTAATTAGTACAGAACCTACTCTTCACGAGAAAAATATTTATTTTTCTCTTTTCTTTCATATTTATTGATTAAGAAATAATAAGTATTCATTGAATATATTAACTAATGAAAATTATAAATAAATGATTATGGCAAAAATTGGCTGTATTATTTTATCAACAGAAAATAATATCTTTATAAAATCAATTGAGGCAATAGTTATATATTTACTGTAAAATTCCTCTTTTAATGATATTTTTAATTGAAAATATATAACTATAAAGTTTGATATATAGTTTTTAAAAATATATAAATATTAAGGAATTCGCCATTTAGTGTCATAGTTTAAAATTTTTCATAATAATAAAAAGGCCTAATGAACTCGAAAATTGAATGCTGATAACACCAATAATCATTACTTATCTACCTCCTTCCACTAAATCCCATATAGAACCAAATTCATACTCCCATCCATGTTTTCGTTTGCACCCTAGAACTTATAAAGTTTTAGCAAAACTTCATTCACTGTCATTCTTCTAGTGATTTGGTTTTTATTAATCCTGACAACTAGTTCACAACTATGATACCAAGACCTGGGAAAAGAAATAGGATTTTATAATTAAAGCTTTATCTATTGTTTAAAATGTCTGCCAAATAGAG